CTTAGATATTTATCATGAAACATCTTCTAATGGGTGTCTACCAAGTATGTTCAAATTAAAGCCCCTGGTTTAAAATTGGCCTTGGCCAAGGGGCCTATATACAGGTGAGCGATTTCAGGGCCATCATGGCCTTCTTGTTTTTATATAGATTTTTCATAAAAACAACATCCATTGCTACTACAAGTACATTGAAAAAAATTCAATGATTTCTTGTTTCACTTGATTACCTGCCAAATTTCTTTTAATCTAAAATAAATTGGCAAAACAGCACCAAATTTTACTGCACAGAAATTCATATGAAAATTTATTTAATAATACTGTTCATTTAACATAACAGCTGTTATATGTATCTAAGACTTAATCAGAAGATTTCAGCGTTTCCTATCGTTACAAGTTTTGGATATAGAAAACCTGTGTACTATTGGTAGATATATTTAATGTGTTTAGGTGCAAATCACTCTGATTTTATGTAGCATGAAATTCTTGTTTTTGTAGTTGAATTTTAGCCGCTAGACTGAAAGCTAGAATTCTCTTTACAGCCTGTTTTCTCGCTGTTTATTAAATCAAACTTGTTTTCAAGAAATCTTGTATTATTTCATCTTTTCTTGGATTAAAAAATTATTTTTAAGTGTATATCTGCTGGACATGTAATTCTTACTTTGTAGTTTGTTATTCACAGTGGTCCAATACTTAATTTTCAGAGAAAAAGTCAGATTCTGCCACTGTGATCTTTAATAAAAAGTGCTGCCGTCATATTGCACATTTTATTCAGTTTTAGGAATGCCTTGTCTATAGTAAAGATACCTTTTATACTTGTTTCTGTTGCGTATCAAAAGTTGAATGCAATACTGTTTTAACATTATGATTATTTTGTAACAAACCCTTAAAATGTTGTGTTTTGTATTAAACTTACAGCATGAGTATTGTAAACATACAAATTACTGTGCAACATATATATATATATATATATATATATATATATATATATATATATATATATATATGAGAAAACCATACACTTCATAGTTACGCCCCTTTATGAGAATACCATTTACACTTCTGAAGATTGCGTTTTGCGCATGAAACTATTAGTAAAGGAAAATGTGTTTTTCAATGTGTTGATTGAATATATCCATACATACAGCTCTATCGAGCACTCTGTAGGGTTTGTACATGTATATATATATATATATATATATATATATATATATATATATGCATAAAGTATAATAATATATATATATAATATATTTATTGTTATTTATGCGAAAGTAATTATATCAATTTTAGCATCTTTTTGGGACAGTTGAGTTTGCAGTTTAAGGGATCTGTAATTATTGGGTTGTTTAGATAACTCCATTACTTCAAATGAACTGTACAGTGATGTCCCTTTTCACTGTGTTTTGAGTCGCTGCAGGGGCTCTGAATTTGTTTCTATGATTAAACTAGCTAAAGAGAAAGTTGGTGGTTCTACCAGTGTGTCTCCTTATGCTATAGGATCTGATAGGTCTTTCTTCACCAGTTAATTAAGCTAAACAGTTGTTATATGACTTTAACAGTATTGATGTTATTTAAATAAACAGGTTGGTGGTTCTGAAATAATGAACGGAGGAGGTTTTCCTCCACCAGTAAAGTTGGAAAGTCGCCAATTGACCTTTTATATTGTTCATGCAACTTTACCCCACCCCCACTCCAAAAAATAATTAAATTAATTGATTAATTAATAAAAATGAAGTCTAGGTGCCATTAGTGCTATTAGATAATTTTATGATATATAGGGAGAGTGCATTAGGGATTATATTACAATTATGCTACAATATTGCAGACAGAAATTGCAGACAAATTATATTGAAACTACTGTATCAAATAATTAAACATTTCACAGTAAAAAACTGGAAAAAAAAATTGTTTAAGGAAATTTTTTAGCAAACTTTGTTAATGAAATTTATCACACACCCGTGCCGATTTTGCGACTCCGTAAATATGGTATTGCACGGCCGTGCATATATTTTGTTGGACGTCATAGTGTAAAGACGCGCTAAATGTTAGCGTTAAACTAAAGGCGCGTCAAAGAAATATGACACTTATTTCACTTTAAACAGTCTTTATTTTGGGTATGTGATAAATAGAATATTAAATTTGTGTAAGTTCATTACTGAATTTATTGCACTCGTTGAATAAAATAATATTATGCTCGCCAGAGGCTCGCATAATATAATTTTATTCAACTCGTGCAATAAATTCAGTATTGAACTTACACTCATTTAATATCCTCTATATACTGAACATAAATAAAATCAGACTTAAGAGATTATATTTTACTGCTCCTCCTCGAGGAAGATTTTTCGCTGGCATTCATAGCCCATTATTTATCATTATTATGATAATTAAAGTCATTATGATTTAATGTTATTTATGCTTCTAGTGCATGATATATGAATCTTTAACACTTGAAGTAAATGTTGTATAATTAAATAATTAAATGTTGTTTTATGGTAAGTGGTTATTTCCTCTCCTTATAGTTTATAAATATTTATATTTTCAACACGGCTCATTATCATAGGAGTTTAAAGAGAACCCCTCCATCCCTCAGTTTTATATTTTTTTTGGATGGGTGTACTTTTATGGATGACATAAAACATCAGTGCATATTGGAAATCACTCTGCACAGAATAAAAATTAGAATTGGATCTTTTTAACATAAAAAACGGGATATTGTGGATCTCCCAGCCCTTTAATTATTACTAGCAACACATTTTTTCTTATATTATTCTTATGTCTTATGTGTTCTGAGGCTTTCATGGTACATCCTGTAAATGGTCATAAGATGTTCTTATTATCGCTGTAAATCAATTCTTACCATGTTAAGGAGGCTTATTACACTGAAAAGCATTCTAATTATCGTTAATTATAAGGAAACATTTCTTTATCAACTGAAACAGTCCTAATTATATGAAAGCAGACTATTATTATGTTAATAGGTCTTTACACTGTAAGCAGGTCTATTTCAACTGTTGCAGTCAATTATACACTGTTAAGCAGGTCTAATTATCAACTGCAAAGCAGGTTCTAATAATCAACTGTAAAGCAGGTCCTAATTATCAACTGCAAAGCAGGTCCTAATTATCAACTGTAAAGCAGGTCTTAATTATCAACTGTAAAGTGGGTCCTAATTATCCACTGTAAAGCAGGTCCTAATTATTAACTGTTAAGCAGGTCTTAATTATCAACTGTAAAGTAGGTCTTAATTATCAGCTGTAAAGCAGGTCTTAATTATCATCTGTAAAGCAGGTCCTTATTATCAACTTTAAAGCAGGTCCTAATTATCCACTGTAAAGCAGGTCTTCATTATTAACTGTTAAATAGGTCCTTTTTATCAACTGTAAAAGCAGGTCCTTATTATCAACTGTAAAGCAGGTCCTAATTATTAACTGTTAAGCAGGTCTTAATTATCAACTGTAAAGTAGGTCCTTATTATCAGCTGTAAAGCAGGTTCTATTTATCAACTGCAAAACAGGTCCTAATTATCAACTATAAGCAGGTCCTAAGTATTAACTGTAAAACAGGTCTTAATTATCAACTGTAAAGCAGGTCTAAATTATCAACTGGAAAGCAGGTCTTAATTATCAACTGTAAAGCGGGTCCTAATTATCCACTGTAAAGCAGGTCCTAATTATTAACTGTTAAGCAGGTCTTAATTATCAACTGTAAAGTAGGTCTTAATTATCAGCTGTAAAGCAGGTCCTAATTATCAGCTGTTAAGTAGGTCTTTATTATCAACTGTAAAGCAGGTGGAAAAAAGTGGTCTGTACACCTATATCCACTGTAAATAATGTCTATGAAAAGCAGGCCTGTAAAATGTGTTCGACTTTTTTTTCATTTTGCTAGTTTACAAATTTAATGTAGTTGTATTTTTGTAACATGCTGAGTGTACTTTTATTTGCACTGGTTGACAGGTGCACTTAGATGAAGTGGGTTGTTGCATTTAGTGCTATTTCATCATCCTAAAGATAATTTATAATATCTAGTTTTACTTTGTAGAAGAAATGATATCTTAACATTCTAATGATATAAGATCTTTGAGAAAATGTGCTTTTGAAATGTAAGAAATCAAGATTACACTGATAAAGATGTAAGACAGAATCTCTTATATTTCCTTTTGTAAGATGCCTTCATTAAACAGCATTTATACATTGTAATCGATGGCTTAAGGGTATATTTAGGTTGAAATAGATTTCTTTTTATGTTTATTATTCAGTTTTTTTGCATCAACTTCTCTGAATTTGTAAAATGGACTTTTCCTGCTTAAACTTTGGAATTGTCCATTGTTAAATAAAGGGATTTCAATATCAATTTATTGGATTCAAGTAGCAAATGAAATCGGGTCCGGCTAGACAGTTAAAGCTGCATGCCTCCAGATGAGCTAAAATATTTCAAGAAAATGGCAAAAAGATTCAAGATTCTAGTAATAGTTTACATATTATATGCAATTAATGAATGATTTTGCAGTATTTATCACCATATTTCTACTGTTTTATTAATTCAGTAAGGGCTATTTTGCATATTTTGACATCTTTCCGGTAATTTACGTGGATTGTTAGTGCTGTTAGCAATGTGTTATAACTGTCATTGTTCACTTCGCAATATTTTAATTTGGAATACATTTTCAAAATTTTCATGAAAATTAGCATGAATCTTGAGGCATGCAGCTTTAAACAACTTGCCTGTCTAAGAGTCATTGTTGTGTTCATAGATGGGAGTTAATAAGATATTAAATCTGCTTTGAACAATTTGTTAATGGGGTATGTAGTTAAGATAGAATATAGATTAACAGATTATTTTGGTGTTCATTGATAGAGATTGCTGATTATTATGTTGATTTAAAAAAAAAAATAACACCTGTTAATTATTTAAACAGTTTATAGCAATTAATATGTAATTAATTACATATCTTGACAGTTGCTGTCAGTTATCTCAATACATTTTGTTTCTCATTTTAGGGTACCCCAAGAAACGATTCACCTATCAAAGATATAGGTAAGTTGACATTAATGATATAAATCATAAAAAATGTATTTTAAAATGGCTGCTCTTGTGGTAGAACATTTGCCTATTATGAGAGTTGTACTGTATTTTCTCCTTGCTTGGTCAAGTCAAGTCAGTTTTATAAAAATGGAACTATAAAAAGTGGCTTTGGGCTTATAATGCCAACTGTTAAAAGGGTAATAGATTAAAAATTATTTTATTTTGATGAATGTATTATTTGATCCACTTTAAATTCAACTTCCTAGAACTGCATATAAGGAAACATGGTGGCGCCCTCAGTATGCTCATACCCACAACCCAGTGTTGAGAGATAGACACCGTTACCATTAGGCCATTGCTCCCCTTGGAGATTATAGTTACGTTAAGTTCTAGTCAGTATATTGTAACTGGATGGGTGTATCATGTATTGGTGTGTACTTAATGAAAGAGCAGTATAAAGCTGTACATTGTGCTCTGAAAAAGCTTTTGGCTGAAAAAGTTTTGAAAAATTTAGATAGAATTCAAGATATATAGTTTATAACCTACATACTATAAATGATACATCTGTGTCTGAATGTAAGATTATATAAGAACATTTAAATGTAAATCTGCAGAGTTTTCCATTCCTTATAATAATGCAAGAGGGATTTTAATGCTTCTAGACTTCTTGACATTTCATCTCCCTGGTGACAATATGTTAAATGGAGATATTGCCTTCTAAATGCAGTGTGACAGTTTTAAAGTATTCCTCTTTTATCTTCACAGTTGCTTTCAATATCTTATGTTGGCTTGAACCTTTCCTAGATTGTTCTGAATGGTTTTCCCTGGTCTTTATATAGAATACTCACCATTCCTAAGCTAGGCCAACCTAGTGGTTACCTAATTTCATTATAGTAATATCAAAACAATTCACAACACTATTATGCAGTTTAAGATTCAAATCAGGTCCAGTATACAAACTTAAGAGATGAATGATTAAACTCGAACAAAACACAAAAAAGACCATAAAAAAGTCACAGGTAAAAGAAAAAATTAATTAATTAAAATGCAAATAAATATGTGTTTTCAATATTCCTCATTCCCAACTTAACCACCCTTCCCTAACACCCCACCACCCCCTCTCATTCCAAACTTAACCCCCCCCCCACTGCCCTGCCAACCACACACATGCTCACACTTACAAACAAACATATAAACAAACATAAAACTCTGGCATCATATATAAAGCAAATTGGTAAACCAAATACAAGATATCTATCATCAATCATCCTGAAGCTGTACTGATCCTAGTGAATTAAATTTCTATCATAGCAGACGGAGAAAGTCTTGAAAATACATTATAACATATATACCTTGATATTAGACTGAAATACATGCAGAGTTAAATTTAACCTGTACCCTGCTGGAAAGTCTTTGCCCAGGTCAGTCATCACATCCATGCAGTCTGACAAGGCTCTATACTGTTGGCTGACCAACTTGGAATTGTAATCTTGATATCATGAAAATATACAATGAACTGTTTTAAAAATTGAAGCTGTGTACAATTTTGTTTAAAAAAAAACAGCAAATTAAGATAACATATATAATATAATGTGTCAAAAGTGACAATGTAATGTCTATGCTACCAATATAGAGCTAGGAGCCAGCTCACTGGTTCTGTACTCTACATCACCGTGGTCTCAAAATGGATCATTCCAAATACAAATAGAACAAGTCTGTCACATATATTGTAAATTACATATGGAATGTTGCATTATCCTAAAGTGGAGTACTGAGGTTTATTAACTTGAGTGGACTAGAAATAATTTCTAAAGTTTAATGTTGCATTAAAATTTTGATGTAGGTCTAAACCAATTACTTGACGTGTACAAAATTTTAGATCATTCACTCACTCCTTTTTCCAGAATTATTATTTTAATTGTGAAAAATGACACAAAATTGATAAGCATTGCAGCACTTTTCACTCAAATCAAACTAAGAATAGCACAAAAGTACAATTTTCAAATTATTTCTGAGTATATTTCCTAATTGCCTATTGCATGATTCATTATGCTCCCCAAAATGCGGGGGAGCATATAGTTGGCGCTTTGTCTGTCTGTCTGCAAGTTGTCTTGTCCGGAGCATAACAATAACTCTTTTTGTCCTAATTTTTGAGTTATTGCCCTTTGTTAATTTTAACACTGAACTTTGTCTGGAACATAACTCTAAAACTATAAGATATATCAAGATGAAACATTTTAGGTAGATATATCTCATTGAGTAAAAGTGCAGTGCAAAAGAACCATAACTCTGTTAAGCCTAATTTTTGAATTATCTCCCCTTTTAGAAAAATCTTGTCCAGGACATAGCCGTAAAACTATAAGAGATATCAACATGAAACTTTGTAGGTAGATATATCTCAATGAGTAGATGCGCAGTGCACAAGAATCATAACTCTGCCTTGCCTAATTCTGGAGTGATTGCCCTTTGTTTATTTTTACTTTTTAAGTTGTCCGGGACATAACTCTGAAACCATAAGAGATATCAACAAGAAACTTTGTAGGTTGATAGATCACATTGATTAGAAGTGCAGTGCAAAGAAGAGTAACTTTGCCTTCCCTAATTTTGGAATTATTGCACTTTGAACTTTTTCCAGGGACATAACTGAAACTACAAGAGGTGTACTTTCCTGTATCCAAAACCTATTCAGGGAGCATCACCCGGCTCAAACCAGGCTCTTGTTGTTTAAAGTGCCCCAGCCGATAACTATGTAAAAAATTCAAATTTTATGATTTTATGTTTTTTTGACCTCAGTCAGGAGTTCCTTTAAAGATATTTTTCTTATATTTGTGCCAAAATTATGTAGTTATTGTTCATGATTCTAAATTGATTTTGGATTAAATTTCTAATTATCAAAATGTTAAAATTATAATATATAGTGACCAACAGCATAAAGTTAAAGCAGATGGCATGCACTTACAGACTAACCTGTCTTTATACTTTATTTAAGTGACTCACATCACCATCTCTTCATTGGTATCCGATTTAGTTATTATTGTGTTCGTAGCTTATAATTATACGCACCTTAAGTGTATTTTTGAAATATGACTGTCAGATATTCCATATTGCAGTAGGGCAAAAACCTTAATTTCATCAGGATGGTGACTTAGTGTGGTTGATATTCTTTTCTTTTTTCTTTTTTTTTTAAATCCAAAATGTAAATTTCTTTACCTGATGAATATGTTTAACAGATTTGCCCTACTATGAATTTGGAATACCGTAGCTATTCCAATGTTTTAACTTAAAGCAGCAATTGCCTCCAGATTTTTGCTGATTTTCATAATTATGTGGCTAAAAGTAAAATATTGTGATGTGAATATAGAAAGTAACATTGCAATCCATGTAAATTACGAAAAAGAGTCAAAATATACAAAAATAGCCCTTACAAATGCAGTTGAAATTATTATAATTATGATGGTGATAAAAACTGCAAATTGAGCCATTATTAAAAGCACATAAAAGCACATAGCATGTAAATTATCTTGAATCTTAAATATTTTAACTTTTCTTAAAATCTTAGTACATTTTTATCAAGTTTAATATTCTTGAAAATATTTTGGCTCATTCGGAGGCATGCAGCTTTAAATGGGATGTCAATATCAAAATTTGAGCTGCTGTAAGAAAGCAACTCTATTTTGGGATAGAATTGAGGAATAACAGCAGGTGTAAGGTCTACAGCTTCCCCACAAAAGATAATGTATTTTCAAGTATGACAAGCTTATAGTAAATGGGAAAAAAAGAAGTTTAGTTTAATTTTAAATTTCATGTGAATTTATTTAAACTCAGCAGTGAAATGTGAAGTGCATATTTTTATGAACCAGTCTATAATCTACTTCCTGTAAGTAACCAGTCTTGACGTCAAGGAGACTGACAGAAACATTATTTGAATTAAAGAAACAAACGTATACCAGTCCCTCAGGGGGCGTGGATGGTAGCTTGCAATTAACTCTTCCATCAATCTCAAGGCTCGGTCATACCAAACATAAACTTTTTTCAATTTCGTCATTTAAGGCTTTCTTAAGTGATTATGTTTTTCTTTCTATCTTATCTCTTAACATCCAGTAACAATAAGATAAGAGAAAAAGATAGATTTATAATTATTGTTTTCAGATTTACGTCAATTGAAGGATTCTGGACAAGATATTATTATACCAGTACACAATCCGTTATGTAGTTTAAAGAATTTACTTCCGATTTTCATGAATGAATGGTGATATTATAAAAACACATGATTACCATGGCTAATTTGATATGACATTTATGTCATAAATTATGTGTTCAACATATGGTAGGGTGTTTTAATACAATACTGTTGTTATGAGACTGGAACCAAACATTTATTTCACGATTTTATCTTATACCAGAGGCAGACTGCATTGCTTTATTACAGTTTGAAATGTGGCTGTATAAAGCGAGCAATTAATACATAAAACTAGCTTTATTATCTGCGTAAAGAGATAAATAGTTCCTAAAATAACCGGTTATATTGCTTATAGTTATCCTATATGACCTCCTTATGAATTGATATATTGAATTAGCATTTCATTGACGTCATTGGAACACTATTTGTTAGATCTTAGATCTTTATGTGAAATCACTACACTTTTGTAAAGATGAATAAGGATTTACATTTTTTTCTTCAAGCTAAAATTTATCCAAAAAAAAAGAAAAACACACTTGTATAAGTTTTGCTTTTGAAGATCATGCAATTCTTTGTATGAATTTTATTATAAGTCAAATCTGCAACTGATCTGAAACGGTGATTTACTGTAAGCATCTGATAAATTATATTTTAGAAAGTGTTTTAATCTTTACACTGCTTCATTTAATTTTGTGTAATGAACTTGTCCTTGACCTTTGAATTTGGAACAGTCCATTATCTATGGTATTTTAGGGTATTTCAGTATGCTAGAACCAACAGGAAATAGGTTTGTCAGTCTGAACAGATGTGCATTATGGGTCTGTAATTGCCA